AGGAAGGAAGGAAGGAAGGAAGGAAGGAAGGAAGGAAGGAAGGAAGGAAGGAAGGAAGAAGAGAGAAATCATCAACTGAAATCTGCTTGTTTGCTTGCAGAAGACATTTGGAAATAGACCAAGCACTGGGTGAAATGGCTCAACACCATATCCAGCAAAAGGTTGAAGAAGAAAATTACCAATTTCTTTTATGATCTTACCCTCCTCAATAACATTGAATCCTAACTGCAATAGAACTTCCAAAGCAGTTTTACGGGATAGAGGAGGGTAGCAGAGGGACCTTTCCACCTACACAGAGTGAAATTCTGAAGATACTTTTGGATTTCCCAGGATATGTGAGGTGATTTTTTAAAAAAACATAACAATAAAAAACCCATAAATGCATTGGAAAATATTATGAATTGGCTAAATCGAATTTCTAAAATTTAATGCTGAGAATTCACATCATAGAGAAGAGACCATAAAATATATATTCAAAATGCGCCAACCCTATAAGGAAAAATAAGATGGAGGGAAGGATAATAATTCCCTTTCAATAAAAATGTTAATTTTCTGGTAATACAAGCATTGCAGCAAGTTCTGATGCATTGTAAACCAATCATCCTTCAGTAGGCATAAAAAACTACTTTGTAGACCTTTAAACTTCACTTGCACCTTTGGACCAATGGTAGGTGTTTTGACCTAGGCTTCCCAAGAGCATGAACCTTGTCCTGAAACCTCTTTAAATACTGTATTTCCTGTCTGCAAGACTCAGTGTTCATAACTCCAGGTATTCTGATCTAGGCTTCCCAAGAGCATGAAGCAAACTCCTGGTCCCGACAAAAACCCCTTTTATTAATTTAATGTGAATTCCGCTCATTCACATCCATTAAAGTCTTTCAAGAGAGGATTTACGGTCACAGACCTTATCTGGCGTAGAGAACTGCCAGGCCAATATCTGCAAAACTTGGCAAGTTGTCTTGGAGAGTCGCAAACCAATTAAGCGAACTGATTGTCTCCTGCAAACTCCATTCCCCTTTCGTTTCTCTTTTATTTCCTCTGGAAGGGGTCATTCATCGTCCATCTGTGGCCTTACTCCCAAGTACTTACTCCTGTTCTTTAGCTGTTCCCTTCGTCTAACAATTCTGTGCATGCGCACACTGGGAACAGGCTCCAGCTGTTTGTCTGCCTCACTGATGTCTGACTCTGAAGGCAGCTGATAACTGGCATACAGCACTGGCCCCCTCTCTGCCTCTGCAAAATTGTCTCCTTTTCCCTTTTTCAATAGGGAGCCTGATCCAGCCATTTCTGAATAACTCAGAGGCAGTTTCCTCTCTCGTGTTCTTGTGGCATTGAAGATGTTTTAATTTATGTTTTTAATCTGCAGAAAATTTTTCTCTCAGCAGTTGTTTCTGTGCAGCAGAGCCAATGTCTTGGCAAGACCTTATTTATACATGAAATGATATTTATGTTCCCTTTTGTAACCTCTCCCTTCCTGAGATCTCTAGCTTATCTTCGAACCCTAAAGCTTCATTCATTTACTTTGTATTGGGGTCATGGATCTTTCTGTCTTGCTCAAGTGACCTTTCAATTCCATGAGTAAATATAAAGGACGTGTTTAACATTCTGCGCACACTGCTCCTTGTGGATGGAGAAAAACAGAACTAGACAGAAAGAAAAATAATAAATCCTTGCAGATTTCACCATCACAGCCACAGTACCAGACTCTCTTTCTCGAAACGGCATAAAACTGTTTAAAACAACTCCACTTATCAAAGGAAGAGGGAACACAAGCGCATGAAAATGGGTTTGATAAAGGAAAAAGGGAGAACACAGCAATCCTCCACTGCCCTCAGAAGCCTTAAGGCACCTAGGTTTTAGATGCTCAGGATATCGCAGGAGTGTCAAACTCAACTTCATTGAGGGCTGCGCTTCAGGGTTGTTTTTGACCTTGGGAGGCCAAAGTAGCCATGGCCAGGGTAGGCGTGGCCAGCTCGATGTCACTCATGTTGGGGGCACCTGTGGTGGCCTGAGGGCTCTGCCACAGAAACCGGGCTCCTGCGCTCAATTTCTGGCTGCAACCGCCTCCTGCAACCCTAGGACAGCGAAAACGGAACTTGAGAGGACCTGCGTGCCACATCCCCAACTCCCGTTTTCGCTGGCAGAGGCACCGTGGGCCAGTCCTTCGCTGTTTCCACGGTAGCCTGTGGACTACATCTAAGCACCCCGCGGGCCGAATTTGGTCCCTGGGCCTTGAGTTTGACACCCCTGGGATACAGTATTCACAACTCAGTACAGAATATGAGCTAAAATATGTAAGAAAAGGAATAAATGAGGAGTTAGATAGTCAACTAAATTAAGAGGGAACAGTGTCTTAGAAAGAGATAGTTTGGCATACCAAACATCAGGTCCCTAGATTAATTACAATATGTTAATTAATTCTTTATTTTGTCCAGAGAAAATATTAGTGTATTTATGTATTCAAAGAACAGGTGTCAAATAAGCAAGGAAGTGTTTAAAAGAAAATGGCAGCCAAATTGGACTTTTAATGTAATTTATACTATAAATTATATACACAGAGGTGTATATGAGAAATACACACAAACACACACACACAAACACATTTTCATTACATTTTTCTCCTGGTCTTCACAACTATGCTCTGATGTGAACTCGGCTGAGAAATAAATCACATAAAACTTGATGGCTGAATTGGGATTAAATGCTGTAACTCCTCAATCTTAATCTGATATTCCAACAAAGCTGATTCTAATTTTGAACCCAACCAAGAAGGATGGTTTATTCTTTATTTTATTCCTCCATTTCCAGCTTTTTTGGAACAGCTTACAACTGTTTCAAATCACAATTCACTTGTTTATTAAATCCATTTATTAACAACAATAACAGACCTACAATACAGATCTAGGAACTATAGAAGCACACTAGAAAGCAAACACTGATCGGAATGGGTCTGCCTTAAATGTCCCCATTTATTGGCACAGCTATCAAGTTAGCTCTTGTCACCATCAACCCTGAAGGAGAAGCTGTTTCCAGGAATTCTCAACACATCCCAAATCTCTAAAATATGCCCAAGGTTCCATATAGATATTAAATAGCATAGAAGGCAAGATCCATCCATGAGCAATGTTGTAATCCAAAAAAAACTCAAGTACAGGTCAAGAATGTCATTAGTTAAAATAGCCTTGATTCCACAAGATTATTCTTGCAGAAGGTTTATAGAATATATAGGTAAGATCAGAGGTGGGTTCCTACTGGTTCGGACCGGTTCGGCCGAACCGGTAGTAACTTGGTGGCCTGAGTCATTGGAACCGGCAGCGACCCAGGCCTGCCACGCCCCCGAACTGGTTCTTTCAGTGGCGCCATAGGTGGCACCATCTTGTTTTTGCCTTCTGTGCATGTGCAGAGAAATTTTTGTTGCACTCCAGGTGTGCACTCAGGGCGCATCAAGCGTGTCCCTGAGTTAACCAACAGTAGCGGCAGCTGGAACCCACCCCTGGGTAAGATTATATATGCCCTGTCCAATACCAAGCACTGAGAACTTACCAGGCTGACCAAACTAAACTTTAGACCCCAAACTAAACCTAAAACCAGAATGAGATAAATCTAAAAAGTACCCAGTATCTTGTAAAACTGCCTCTATTTGTGGCACATTCAAGAATACTAAGAACTGCAGAAATGAAAAAAGGTGGGGATACGACTGATCATGGATAACAGTATTGCCAGGGAATATGTAAAAATATATCAATTTAACTTTTTTTTTAACATGTTTCTTTTTCAGATTAAATAGGAAGGCTAATCAGACTTTACTGGTGCAAAACTATGTAATGAGATATTCAGTATTAATGCATACCACATAGACTTTGGGGTAATGGGAGAATTTAGCAGCTCATTTTGCTAGCATTCACAAGTCTTTTGGTTTTATATAACTGAAAAATTAAAATATAAAGCAAAGTACATAGCTTTAATAAAATAGTAATGATGCTGATCAGACAAACCACATTTCCTTAAGTGATTTCCAAATTATGAATCAAATCACATTATTATTTTTGGAAAGCTTTTGCAGACTACTTCCTTTCCACCCACATATATCCTTAGTAATATCTTCTCTTGTATAAGCTTACGTGTTATTAAAAATTAGACTGAGAACTGATCTAAACAATTTGTGCTAATTGGCCAAGTTGCAAGGAAATCAGCAATTAATGCTTGAAAGCATAGCAGTCATTTCTGGCTGGGGAAACTTTCATTAAGAAAACTGGCAGATTTCCTTCATCACAAGTGAAAATAAAATTTCTTCACAAATGCTTTGGTAAAAGGATTGAAATTTCAAAAGCCTCTCATTCACTTGGTAATAAATGTTATCTCTTATTTTGATAGCAAATGTATGCCAACCGAACTAATGCAATGTCAAGTCAATGGTCTACTTAGCTCAGGGCTGACAGCTCTAAAGTCATTATTCTTCTCCACTGTGAATTTGTCAGGTAGCACCAAGAATCATGATCACCGGCACCATATTATGTTTGTAAATTAATAAATATTGCATCCAGTTCTGGACACCGTACTTTAGTATGCACACTGACAAACTGAAAAATATGCATAGGAGAGCAACCAAGGTGATAAAGGCAAACTCTTATATTCTGACCTAGGCTTCCCAAGTTCATGAAATAGACTCCCCGACCCTATAAAATCTCCTTTATTTAGGTTAAAGGGAATTCCTCTCCAGTAAAGTCCTAGCCAACAGTCTTTCATGAGATTTCACAACTACAGAACTTTATCAGGCTTGGAAAGTTGCCAGGTCGATCTCTTCCAAACGCCACGCTGTAACAGCAATTACTTGGCAAGAAGTCAGGAAAAGATCTTCAACCTAATGAATTGAACTAATTGTCTCCTGCAAACTCCCCTCCCCCTTCGCTCTTCTTTATTCCCTATGGGAGGGGCCATTCACCATCCACCTGTGCCTTTTCTCCGGAGTTTGCTCTTGTTCCTTAGCTGTTCTCTTCTTCTGGCAGCTCTGAGCCTGCACATCAGGAACAGGCTCCAGCTGTTTTTCTGCTCCACTGATCTCCGACTCCGAAGGCAGTTGATAACTGTCGGATGGCCCTGGCCCCATCCCTGCCTGACGCAGAGCCCTCGCCACAGCCTGCCCCAGACTCCAGGACTGGCCCATGTTCCTCCCCAAACTCCTCAGTGTCTGTGTCTGCCATCAGCTCCGCTGGCTGCCAGCGGGCCACAACATCTTAAGAAGGGGTGGGTGGAAGCACTGGGTATGTTTAATCTGGACAGTTGTCTTAGATATATGGAGGATTGTCATGCAGAAAATGGGACAGAATTATTTTAGAGTCATTCCAGGAGATAAGACAAGAAATAGTGGGTTGAAGTTTAAGCAATGGGGATCAGGGTAAATTTCCTGGTGGTAAAAGATATTCAACAATAAAACAAATTGCCTTGGGAGATGGTAGGCTCACCTTTGTCAGCAATGTTTAAAAGTGGCTGAATGGACATCTGTCAGTGATGGTAGTGTATGGATTTCTCCATGGGCAAGGGTTGAACTAGATCATCACCAAGGATAGTTACAATCCATAGAGTCTATTATTCGGTACCTTTTCTAGCTGTGTCTCAACTAGAATCACTGGTTATAAATATAGATCTGCTCCAAGTGTGAAATCTGGGAGACTGGATGCAGTCATAATAATTAGTTTAACTCTTAATATGCCATTTCTTATACAATAGTGAATGCAAAGCAATTTTATGCAATAATGAAGTTTCTTAAGAAATGTCTCTATAAATAAATACATTTCTATAAAAGATTACTTTTCTATGCTTTGACATATAAACCTATCCCAGGTCAAGAAAGTGACTTTTTCTGTCTTATGCCCTAAGACAGGTCCCTAAAGAAGAGACTGGCTGAATTCACAGAGGTTTAACTTGGTCAAATAAATACTTAGGGGTTGCATTGACGCAATATGTTAAACTTGGCTACTTTTCATTCAGATTGATTTTCCTTTGTGACAACTTTTGAATGAACCTAGTCCATAGTTAAATGAATTGTGCAAATGCAGAAAACAGTGTGTGAAGAAAATATAGGACAGGGCTTAGTTGAAGGGGCCAAGCCAGTTGAGACTCTACTAATCCAAGTCAATCCATCCATCCATCCATCCATCCATCCATCCATCCATCTATCCTATCTATCATCACTTTTGAAAACTGNAACCCATTGCGCTGTTTGGGAAACGGAGCCCAGAACTGTTACACGTGGTATTTTGTTTCAGGAAAAGAAAAATAAAATTGTTTAACTTCTAAACAACCATTATCTGACAAGATGCTTACTGCTTTTATTTAGGGGCGGTTTAAAAAGGAAGCTGTGTGTTGATCACACAGGCTAGTATTTTATTTACATACTTATTTTCTCTGCTAAAATCCATCCAAAGCAGCTGCATAGTAATAATACCCATTCTAGTCAACGTATTTTATAATTGAAGGGCTAAACAATGTTATAAACAGACTCATCAAACAAAAGAAGATAAAATAAATGATCCACTCTTCCTTCTTAGGAACCATGGAGAGATTTCCAATTGTATTATACAGCTAGTCCTAATTTATGACCACAATTGAGCCCAACATTTTTGTTGCTAAATGAGACATTTGTTAAGTGAATGTTGTCCCATTTTACAACCTTTCTTGCAACAGTTGTTCAGTGAATCACCGCAGTTGTTAAATTAGCAACATGATTTTCCCACTGCTTGTCAGAAGGTCGCAAAAGGGGATTATGTGACCACAGGATGCCGCAACCGTCATAAATACATGCCAGGTACCAGGCATCTGACCATGGGGATGCTGTAATGGTCGCTAAGTGTGAAAAATGGTCATAAGTCACTTTTTTCAATGCTGTTATAACTTCAAACGGTCACTAAACGAATTGTTGGAAATCGAAGAGCACCTGTATTTATTCCTTATCCATTTTAGTTTGATTTTAAATGTTTTAACATGGTTATTTTATCCCTTTTACAAAACATGTTGACTTATTGAAATATTCTATGACAGGTAGAGTTGCCTTAGAGGGAGATGGATGGCAAACCAATTTAATGAATAAATATAAATGGTTTAGCAAAAACAATAAAATGAAGACAAAAGCAAATACATTTCTGTCAATCTGTACATTACAACACGTTTTTTTCTACACTTTTAAAACTTAGCGAAGTTCCTACCTTACATCCTTCTCCCATAACAGATCATAAATTGCCAAAAAGTTACAGGCAGTCCTCAATTTAAAACAGTTCGCTTAGTGACCAAAGTTACGACAGAACTGGAAGTGACTTATGACCATTTTTCACACTTACAACCGTTGCAGTATCCCCATAAACATGGGATCAAAATTCAGATGCTTGGCAACTGGCTCATATACATGACGGATGCAAATTCCTGGGGTCACGTGATCAGCTTTTACGACCTTTTGAGACACAAAAGGGTGTCAATGGGGAAGCCAGATTCACTTAACAACCGGACTACTAACTTATCAACTGCAGTGATTCACTTAACAACGGTGGCAAGAAAAGTTGTATAATGGGGCAAAGCTCGCTTAACCAACATCTCACTTAAGAACACGAACGTTTGGGCTCCATTGTGGTCGTAAGTCGAGGACAAGCTGTTTTTTCTTCCTGGAAAGAAACGCAGCAATTCTACATCAAATGCACTTAGACGGGTTTTACATTCATGCTTGGGCCATTCACCAGTGAAGAGCTCCTACGTAAATAAATATGAATAAGGAAACCTTACGGGCATGGCTCTCTATGAATTTATCGTGTTCCGTTGGTCCTAATATTCTCGCAAAGCGCCTCATGCTGTCATAGAGATCTTGAATTTTCTTGGGGTATCTTCTTTCCAGAACTGGAAAACACAGAAGGAAATGTAGATTGAGTCAACCATGTGATCCTGAAGTCCCGTTTTCCCAGCTGTCCTGCTAAGACAATGATGGCTAACCTTTTTCTTGTTGGGTGCCAAAAATACAAGTGTAAAAGTTCAATAGCACGAGTGTGTGCCAGCACCCATAATGCAATGTGCCCCCCACATGCGCATGTGCGCACAACCCCCCCCAGGCTCCCCCTCATGTGCGCCGCACTACCGGTGCACTACTCAACGCCAAGCTGAACTTGATATTTCCTCCAGGAGCCAGGGTAGGCCGTTTTTGCCCTCCCCAGGCTCCAGGAAAGCCTCCGGAGCCTGGGAGATCGAAAAACAGGCCTAATGGAAGTTCGGAAACAGATTGTTTCTGGCTTCCAGAGGGCTTCTTGTGGGGGGGGGGAGTTGTTGCCCTCCCCAGGCTCCAGGAAAGCCTCCAGAGCCTGGGAGAGTGAAAACAGCCTTCCCATACCCCACTTGAGGTTCTCCGGAAGCCGGAAACAGTCCGTTTCCAAACTTCAGGTTGGGCCAGTAGGCCTGTTTTTCAACCTTTCCAGGCTCCAGAGGCTTTCCTGAAAACGACTTTTCCCCGGCTCTCTGGAGCGGCTGAAGATTAGCTGGTCGGCATGTGCATGCGCGCTGGAGCTGACATAGGGCAACGACTCACGTGCCCGCAAAGATGGCTCCACGTGCCACCTGTGGCACACGTGCCAAAGGTTCGCCATCACGATGCTAAGATGAGACAGGTGTGTTTGTGTGTGTGGGCGGAGAGGTTGTCAAAAAAGTCAAGATGAAGGCTGCAACCATTTGATAGCAGCGAAGATATCTGAAGACACTCCTGATTCAGGCTGCAACCCCAGAATTCGTAACGCATTCCATGATGCGAGGATCAGACGGAAGCAGCCAACACTGCCTTCTCCTTTACAGATTGTCCTCAATTAAGGACAAAAATTCGAGCCTGGCAATTACGGTCGTAAGTCTAGATGGTCATAAAGTGGGTCACCAATGTGCCCAACCTGATTTTATGAACTTTTGTTGCAACAGTTAAGCAAACATGGCAGTCGTTAAGCAGAGCAGAGTTTTCTACAGGCCAGTTTTTGCTGGAAAGTGGAAACACACAAACCAGAAGAAACTTCATAGATCACAGCTTGGCCACTGTAAAGGAACGCTGCACCTTTTAAAAATAATGGTAGTCCTCAACTTACAACAATTCATTTAATAGCCGTTACAACAGCATTGAAAAAAGGGGCTTATAACTATTTTTCACACTTATAATCACTGCAGCATCTCCATGGTCAGGTGATCAAAATTCACGCGCTTAGCAACTGGCTCACATTTATGACGGTTGCAGTGTACCAGGGTAATGTGACCACTTTTTATGACCTTCTGATAAGCAAAAACAATGGGGAAGCCAGATTCACTTAACAACCATGTTACCAACTTAACAACTGCAATGATTAATTCAACAATACAGGCAATTCTCGATTTACAACAGTTCGTTTACTGAACCATTCCAAGTTCCAATAGCACTGAATAAATTGACTTAGGACCATTTTCCATACTGTAGCATCCCCATGGTCATGTGATTGACATTTGGATGCTTGACAACTGGTTCAGGTTTATGACGGCTGCAGTATCCAGGGTTCATTGGACTATCTTTTGTGATCTTCTGACAAGCAAGCTCATTGGGGAAGTCAGAATCACTTAACAACCACGTTACTAATTTAACAACGGCAGTGATTCAGTTAACAAATGTGGCAAGAAAAGTCGTAAAATGGGGCAAAACTCACTTAACTGCTGTCTCACTTAGCAACAGAAATTTGGGGCTTAATTGTGGTCGTAAGTTGAGGATTACCGGTATTGCACATTTTAAAAAACGGAAATGTTTTTACATGGGAGCTCCCAGAGAAAGCTCAAACTGGCCAAGGAGCTGCTGATAAAGTTCTACAGAGGAATTATTGACTTTGTCATTCGCATCTCTATAACTGTCTGGTTTATTTACTAACTCTGCATTACTATTAATTTTCTCATTGTTCCTATCACCCATCTCCTCTCACTTATGACTATAACCATGTTGCTTGTATCTTTCAATTTATATTGTTATTTGTTGCCTAATACAATTTGATAACTTATTAGTAACCTTGACTATCACTAAGTGTTGCATCTGATGATTCTTGATGAATGTATTTTTTTATGTACACTGAGAGCTTATGCACCAAAGACAAATTCCTTGTGTGTCCAATCACACTTGGCCAATAAAGAGTTTTATTCTCAAGAATTCCATTCTATTCAGAGACTTCTCACCTGTGTCTGCTTCAGTAACATAACAGATGTAGAGGGACAGATGTTTTCCTGCCCCAGAATCCTCCGACTTGCCTTTCATTTATCGCAGACACAACTACATAAAGCACCCGCCGTAGTTAAAGGGTGAACGCCGTGGCACTGTTTTTAAAGAGGCAACATGACATTAAGATCAACGACTTCAAGTACTTACTCTGAAATTTTCTGAGATTGATTAGTCCGTGGTCTTTTATGATTCTGTAAGTTAAAAGGTGCTTATTAGTACTATTTCTAATCACGAACAAGCGCCAGCAACGAAAAACACCAACAATAACACCCTCTGAGAAACTGGCATCATGTTTCCCTTTGTGAGCTCCTCAAAAGGGCTGGGCAAGACTTGTTGGAACAGGTAGAAAAGTTTCCTCCCCTGGACAGGATGAACAACCGTATTTTTCGGACTATAAGACGCACCGGAATATAAGACGCACCAAGATTTCGAAGGGGTAAGTAAGAAAAAGAAGTTTTTGCCTTCCCTCATCCCCCAGCAGCACTCGGCAGGCTTCAGTAGGCTGGGGTAAGGCAAAAAACCCTCACTTTCTGCAAAACATGGCCCATTTTTTGCAAAAATGGGAGGTGGGGATGAGGCTTTGGGAGGCTAAAAATGGCTGTATTTGGTGCATAAGACACATCAACATTACAATACAATAGCAGAATTGGAAGGGACCTTGGAGGTCTTCTAGTCCAACCCCCTGTCTAGGCAGGAAACCCTATACCGTTTCAGACAAATGGCTATCCAACATCTTCCTAAAGACTCCCAGTGTTGGGGCACTCACAACTTCTGGAGGCAACTTCTGTCCACTGATTAATTGTTCTAACTGTCAGGAAATTCCTCCTCAGTTCTAAGTTGCTTCTCTCCTTGACTAGTTTCCATCCATTGCTTCTTGTTCTACCCTCAGGTGCTCTGGAGAATAATTTGAACCCTTCCTCTTTGTGGCAACCCCTGAAATATTGGAACATTTCTACGTTCTTCGGGGGGCGGGGGGAGGTGCTTCTTATACTCCGAAAAATACAGTACTCATTTAGTAGAGTGACAGGCTGGGGACCTGAGGTTGCCTCCTGGAAGGAAAATTTCATTTTTAAAATCTTAGCCAGGTGTGTGTGTGTATGTGTGTGTGTGTGTGTGTTTAAAATGTTAAGGAAGTAGTAAGAATCCTACTTTGTTGTTTGAAGTTTCCATCTCCAAAGACCTGTCAAAATAGTGAACGTGTACACACACACACACACACACACACACACACACACACACACACACACACACAAAATAGGACCATTCCACAACTTCATAAAAGTCACCTTTCCAAATCCCTAAAGTGAACATTGCCAGCAGCACCAAATGAGTGACATGGTGTTAAATGTCTGAATGCAGCAGATAAAATCTGCAAGTAAATTGCCTCCAAATAGATTCCCATCACTGTAGGTGTAACACTGTCTCAGATTTGCATAAAACAACACTAAAACAAGTTTCCATATGTACGTAGCTGGGAAAATACCTGGCATGGAGCAATGGGCAGAGAAGATTGGGGAGGGTGATGTTTTCCCCTTTATCAAGTCAACTACATTTATTTCCAGTTTCCTATTCTTCATTTTAGGGTTAATTCTATAAAGATAGTAGGATTAACTGCAATGATCTGCCTCAGAGGTAGGGAAAGGTGGCCCCCTTATGACTTGTGGACTTCAACTCCCAGAATTCCTGAGCCAAACGTGGCTGGCTGAATTCCTGAGCCAAACATGGGAATTCTGGGAGTTGAAGTCCAGCCATCTTCAAGTTGAGAAAGGCTGTTCTACAGCAGTATTTTTCAAGCTCAGCGACTTTAAGCTTCGAGCTCCCCGAGCTGGCTGGGGAATTCTGGGAATTGAAGTCCATACATCTTAAAGCTGCCAAATTTGAGAAACACTGATCTAGGCAGTTCAAGATGTACCAATGGATAGTCTTCAAGTTCCAACAGTTCATATAGTGACCATTTTGAGGTTACAACGACACTTACAACACCTTTGCAGCATCCCCGTGGTCGCATGATCAAAATTCAGATGCTTAGCAACTGGTTCATATTTATGACGATTTCAGTGCACAGGAGTGACCCAATCTCTTTTTGTGACTTTCTGACAAGCAAAGTCAAAGGGGAAGCCAGGTTCTCTTAACAACCGTGTGACTAACTTAACTGTGGCAAGAAAGGCTGTAAAATGGGGCAAAAGTTTGATTGCTTCCAGTTTAGGAGACAAGGAGTCTGATAGTAACTTTCTAGGATGGAGCATTCGCTTTCTGCTAGCAATAGCAATTAGATTTATAGACAGTTTCATAATGCAAAGTCAATGCGGAAGCCAGATTCACTTATCAACCATATTACTAATTTAATAACTGCAGTGATTCACTTAACAATGGTGGCAAGACAGGTCATAAAAGGGGACAAAACTAATTTAACAACTGCCTTGCTTAGCAGAGGAAATTTTGGGCTCAATTGTGGTTGTAAGCCGAGCACTAATCATACATGTATCACTAGAGCAATTAACAAAATTGGCCTGTGTTATAACACATTTATTCCTTTCATGGTGGGATTCAAATTTTTTTTACTACCGGTTCTGTGGGCATAGCTTGCTGGACATGCTGTGGGGGGTGTGACAGTGGAAGGATACTGCAAAATCCCCATTCTCTCCCCATTCTCGGAGGAAGGATACTGTAAAATCTCAATTTCTACCCCATTCCAGGGCAAGGATACTGTAAAATCTCCATTCTCACCCCACTGCAGGGGGATACTGCAAAATCCACAGTTCCTCCCAATCAGCTGGGACTCGGAAGGCAGAGAATAGATGGGGACGGAGGAAGCCAGAGGTGGTATTTGCCGGTTCTCCAAACTACTCAAAATTTCCGTTATCGGTTCGCCAGAACCAGTGAGAACTGGCTAAATACCACCTCTGATCCCTTTTCAAATGCTAGTAGAGAACTGCAATGAAGCTCCAAGGAACGTTTTAACAGTGGTGAAAGAATAGGGGGAGGGGGGAGGGAATTGCCAAAAACTCACTTTTTCCGTCTTTGTCTTTCCTTTAACCGAGAGTGATAGATATCTACGACTGCAATCTTCAAAGCTGTGAAAAGTTCAAGGGAGAGTGGAAGAGAGACGAAAAGAAGAAAAATCCTTTATGCAGGAAATGTACATCAGCGATGGGGCGAAGCAGGATGGCAAAACTGACAGGATCACAACGCTGATCTACCATATCATCACAGCAGTTGATTGTTTTCTTGATAGTGAAGAACTAACAAAACAAAGTGACCCGAATCCTGCTTTGAAAAGAATTCTCTTCCAAAGCACAGCCATCATGTGAGACTCTGTGCCTACATAGGTTCTTATGGGTCCCTGGTGCTCTCTGAGCTTGGCTGTTTCCTTGCGGATGGTTCATGACCCAACTAGGTATTCACCGTCAGCACTGATGATGTTACCTAGTTGGGTCATGAAAGGTCTGCAAGAAAACAACCAAGCTCAGAGGGCGCCAAAGGACCTCATGTTTCAACCCTGAGCTAAAATATTATCTTCTATTGATAGTTTGAGGGAGTCAAACCATTCTCCAAAGCACCTGAGGGCAGAACAAGAAGCAATGGGTGGAAACTAATCAAGGAGAGAAGCAACTTAGAACTGAGGAGAAATTTTCTGACAGTCACCACTGGTCCTTGGATATGATTATTCTACACTATCATGCTTGCGTTTCTCCTTCT